GGTGCCAACTTGGGCCAGTGAAGCAACATCCTCCACAACTAGACTGAAGAACAAAACGACAGCAACTTGTCTGTTCCCCTTTCCCCAATTCCCCAATAAAAATCTTAAAAAAAAAAAAAAAAGAAAAAAGTAACATCTTTTAAGTAACAAGGTGAATGTAACAAAACGTTATTTGTAGATTCTAGGTGGGGGCTGTTCACTGTACAGTTCTTTCAACATTTGTGCATGTTTGAAAAATTTCATAATAAAGTGCTGGGGGGAAAAAAGGCAAAAAAAGGAATATCTACGCTTTACCACCTAAAACTTACATGACAAACTACCAGACATTGGTCAGCTTCAACCACTACTGTCGCTAAATGTTCATTAGTAAATGGACATGTATGTACCGTGAGCCAGGCACTGCACTAAGTACAGGGTTTCAGCAGCAAACCGTCTCCTTGTCACGCAGAGCTGACCTTCTCCCGAGGACTAGAGCAGAAGAGAATGTTATTATGAGCGGCTAGGACCGCGGGGTAGCATTTCCTTCTTGGAAGGCAGGGATCCGCCCTTCTTCCCACCAGCACTTTGGCTTTTGCCAGGAGAAGGCTGGGAGGAATGCAGGCAGTCCACAGAGGCAAGGAGGCTCTAAGGAGAGGAGGCCCTGCGTGTCTGAGAAAAGGCCTTGGAAGCGCATGACAGCTCTGTGTTGGGTGACTTTCTGGAAACCAAACTGCATCCACATTCAGAGCCTCAAGCTTTGAGGGAGAATGCCTCCCTTCCCTCTTGTCCTGAAGGCTGGGCTTTGTCCTGCTGAGAAAGCACTTTGAGAGAGAAAGCGCCCTACTCATCTCATGCCTCAAAATGTTTTCCCCATCTGGAATTATTTCTCAGCATTTTATAATTTTACAATAGCAACCTGAATTTTCAGGGAGGAGAAAACTTCAGAACATTAAAGGCTTAGGTGATATTTTGCAAAACTAGGCATCTTCTTGCAAGTGTTTGACTAAAAGTGAAGTCTGTAATTGAATGTAGCAATCTGCAGAGATCCGCCTTATTTGGTTCCATCAGATCATCTTTCTGGATCCTGTGAATTTGGAAGTGCCAACTCCATTCTGTAGACACGATGACAGCGGCTGTGAAACTTAACTATAGCTTTCAAGTGAACCTGGGAATTTAAAAATGTTGTTTTAAAAAAAATATACAAATGACTATTTATTGTCCCTTTCTCATTTCCTTAAGGTGTTGTTGCGCTGCTTAAGTTCTATGGAACTAGGCATTAAAAAACACTTAATGGTATTTTATGTAAAACAATGAGTAGAATTTAATCGAGGCAAGCCAGGAAGAGAGCAGCAGTACCTGAATAAAGGAACAGCACTTCAAAGTCTCAAACCTCCCTAATAATTAAAAATATTTTCTGGTCACCAGAGACAGGAGGAATCCCTGGATTAAAGGAACCACAAGCAACTGCTGCTCTTTAAGAATGCATCCCACTCTGCACTTAGTTCATTGGAGACTTACTGGCATAAACAGTAATGGAAGAGAGTTTCACAATTTTATACCTGCCACAAAACTATTTGCTAGAGATCGTCCAACATCTATCAGTCCATCATTAGGGGGAAAAACTCACCTTTCCTTCTATTTCACTTTTTTTCTCTTCTCTTCCTATTTTTATGCCCCAAAAGTTGAATCATCATGCAGTACAGCCAGAAACTGTCATTGCTGCAACAGCCAAAGGATAGTAAAAAACTACCAAACTAGAAACCCACATCCTGACTTGTTTTCCAACAGCAAAATGTATGACTGGAGGCATGTTTCATCCAACATTAGGTTGGACATCTCTGGGAAAAGAGGAAACTGCTTTTAATTTAGCAATGTCCAAGAATGATGTCAAACAATAAATGTTAAAAGGTTGAGAAAATTGGCCAACTGGGTGAGACGAGCACATTTCCGAGTCGGGCAGGAGGTTTGAAACACAGAAGAGACTAGCTTTCCAGGAAAGACTTGATTCTGAGTTGAAGTCTTAACAAAAGTTCCTATTTGGAAGGACAGTTTGATCATTACTTTTATTCTATATTCACAATGAATGAACTGTATAAAATAAGTGGCTGGTTTATTACAAAATGCCAAATGTTAGGGGTTAAAAAAATTGCTTATTAAAATTCAGATGAGACCCAGCTGACGGACACTAAATTAGAGTATTGTATCAGCAAAAATTAAGTTAAAGCAATTTTCTACTGGCAAAATCCTTTTATAAGCGTTGTCAACATGCTGCTAGTTAGAACTTAATTTCTTACTCCAGAATTTTACGGTTGGAGTGGACCTTGGAAACGTCTAATCCAACTCTTTATTTTACAGATGGGAAACCTGAAGCTAGAAGTTGAAGTTAGACAAAAAAAAAAACTGTTATTGTTTGGATTAAAATTCCTGAGTAGAACAAAATAACCAAAGCAGGAAATGAATCCTCAGTGCCTAATGCACAGCCATGCTTTTAATAGAAATTTGACCAGACCAGGAAGCTTTTAAATATCATTTCCTTTTTTGGTGGGGTTGAATGTTTAGTGGCAACATTTTTTTTTCTCTGATAAAAGTACATGTTTATTATAGAAAATGTAAAACATATAAGAAAGCACATAGAAAATAGGTCATCAAAAATAGTTTAGTATATTTCCTTCAAGCTTTTTCTATGCAACAAAAATAACTACCATTTACTTTTTAAATGGAACTGGATGATCATTTATTCATTGAAAAACAATCGGAGGAACAGCAGTGGTGTGGGGTTCCCTACCTGAGAGGGCGGTGCTGCTGGAAAGCAAAGGAGCTAAGGGACACAAACTGCCAGGAAGCAAAGTGCCATCTAGTGGATGATCAGGTGGTGCTGACAGCCCAGGGCGCTGGGGAACAGGATCTCTGCATGACCTTTATTTTCACTTTATAACATAAACCCACCAGACCCAGAGTCTAAATGTGGGATGGGGTGTGGGGTAAAGTACAGGGAAGGCTCAAAGTGACCCTTCCAGGCTGGGTCTGCCTGGAACCGAAAGTTTCGTGGCTTCCTCTTGAAATGAAGGCTGATCTTTCACACTGGCCAGGGGGCTCTGACTTGGCCTCTCTGGGGAGAACAGTACCATTTCTCATGGCCGGGCAACTTCACACAACCCTGTGTAAACAGCGGAGAGTATGGGTTCTCTTAGATTCTTTATTAAGAGCCCATACTAATTGTGGGACACCCTGAGAACTAGATTTCACCCCATTTAATACCTACACACCTTTAACAAATGTACATGGCACAAAAACCATCTCTCCCTATTGGGAACATTCACCCACTTCAATAACATTCCACATGATCCTCCATAGGTATGAACTGTCAGACTAAAGCAACCTATTCCAGATTAAGTCCTGATGACTTCCAACCGTAGTCTGCTGACCTTTCAGGTATCACCAATGATCTCCCCAACTATTAAGAAATTCTGCTATTAGGAAATCAACTTTGTTCCACTTAATTGAACTAAACCAGAGGGCATTCAAAAGAGCTGAACATTTCTGGCTCAAATAACTTTTATCACCATCAATGAGAAGCCATGTTAGCTGACTAGATGAGTAGTTTTAAGTTTTCACGTTGGCAATTTTATGTGTGCATCCCTTGTCCTACGAGCATTACGCATCAGAACACATGGCATGAGCAGGGCTGGGGCATTCACTCTGCAGCGAACAGACACAAAGGTATTTACACTATAACACTCAGCAGTTGGTATCCACATGGTTCTCCACATTCTAAACTCGAGAAGATGTTACTTTGTAGCCAGAAATATGTAAGGTAGAAGGAAACACTTAAACAAGAATTATGCAACAGACAAGGTTATATATATAAGTAACGTTATACTTAGGGTTTAAACTAGTCCCTGAATATCTTTAGTACCACCCCGGGGGGAAATGGGATGAATGAGAACTTGAATTTTCCAATGATTACAGTTCAAATCCTCTGAAACCTATCAGAGGTCAAATAAAATGAGAACTCAGATCTATAGAGTAGTAATTTCTTGCTGGCACCAGCACAAGGCAGTAGTGATTCTCAAGTCGAATATATTACGCATAATACTATAAAAAATCTTAAGTTTTAAGGAACGTCCATTATCACTAAAAGGTTTGAGCTTTACTACTCTAACCCTATGTCTCTGACAACAGAACACTGCAGAGCAAAAGCCCATGAAAAACAACAAAGAGGTATACTAATTGACAAGTGGCTGCTATGATACGCCACAGACATTTCAGGTATAAGCATTTTGAAAATGGAACATGCAGATTCCCCAAAGCTGGGGAAAGACTGTTTCTGATACGTGTTAACAGAAAAAAGTGGCACGTGACCTCCATAACCACATTCAGTTGGTGGGTATTACCCACTGCTTTTTTTTTTTTTTCTTATTATTGAGAATAAGGCAAGGAAGGAAAGACACAGTTTTCTCCAAATGACTTAAAAAAAAAAAAATGAGGGGATGCTATACCCCTCCATCAGTGCTCCGTGGCTGAAAACCCTCCCTCCGAAGACTACCCATGTCGAAGCGGGTAGTGACCTCACAGCGTACTACTAAAGTATCATCCTTAACGAAGGTCCTTTGTCTTAGGGCTTCTAGATGCATGAACGTCACATAGCCAAAACCTTTTGGGTTCCGTGGGATTGTGGGTCTCTGGAAGGCAAGCAGTTCTGGTTTGGCATCCATTATCTCTTCATGGTTTTGCCTTATAGGTGCTTCTGACTGATCAAGAATTGTAAGGCGTATTGTACCCTGGAAGGGCCACGGGAGGTGGCTGTCATACTCTCCTTGCATAGTGTGGACAAAGAGGGATATATAGTTTGCACAGCGCTGAGCAGTGGGTAGCTGGAGGTGCAGCCGCATGCACAGTTTGTACCCGGGTTTGCCTGTGTAGAATCCTGGGCTATGAATGACAACAGGCTTCTCCTCTTCCTGTGACTTCAAGTGCATCCCGAAGTTACCAATCTTCCAGATGTAAATCCCATTGCACTGCTGTGCTTCGAGTTCAGCAATGTTGTCCTCAAGGGTTCGAACAGTTCGTTTGAGCTCATTTACATACATGCTTTGAGTTTCCATTTTCGCAGTCAGCTCCCGGATCTGATGGTCTTGTCTTACAAGGCGACCCTCTAACTGTTGAATGGTTTCGTGGAAATCCACCTCTGGGTGACACCCAGAAGCCCGGGGCAGAGAAGCAGCAAGGTTTAAGCTCTGAACAGCTTGCGCCAACATCCTCATGTGCGACTGCGTGCTCTCCTGCAGGTGCCGTGCTAAGTGGATCCTCTGCATCTAAACATCAAGCACACGTTAGGCCGGGAAGAGATACTGTGAGGACTAGGAAGGCACCTAGCCAAGCCGAATAAAAGGTTTTAAGTGATGTCACCACTTCTTTCACTATCCTACAACCTTCTTTGTCTCCATCAGATTCTTGAGATCTTGCCTCTTAATTCACTGAAAAACTGAGGCTCTCGCTGTGTGCTCTCCCATCTTTCACTCAGATAAACCTCCCTCCCACCTACAAAAGTACCAGGACCCACACCCATCCTTCTCTTCTGACTCGGACAGGGCTCTCCTCCTGTCTAGGACTCATGCTTCACCTGGGCTCTCAATGGCATCTGCCCCCTTTCACCATCCCACAGGTGTGGCTCAGTTACCCCCTTTCTGCTTTATCTTCATTCTCTCCCCCAACCCTGTCCCTCAGAATATAATTATTAAAGCCTTTCCCATTTTTTTAAAAAAGGAAACTCTCTCTATTGATCTTGTGTCTCCCTTTTATCCCTCCTCCTTTTATAACCAAAAGTATTCTACCTGCCCCCATTCCTCATTCATTATACAAATTGGTTGCAAATTAGAATCACTCCTGTCTTTACACTCTTCTCAGGTCATAAAGAACATTCTAATCATTATAGGAAAGAAACATTCCTGATGTAACAATTTTTATTTAAGAGTAATTTGTGTATATTATAGAAAAATAGAAAATGTAGATGGTCAAAAAGAAAATAAGCGATCTATTATTTCAACTACCATTAACATTTTGATATATTTCCTTCAAGTCTTTTTCTCTATGCCCACAAACAAGACGGAATATTTCCACAAAATGTAATCATACTATATACTATTTACTCATTTTAATTTTTTAATTATTAAAGTGGATGCTTATGGTAAGAAAAAAAGACAAGATAAAAAAAAAAGCATAACAGAAAAGCAAGAGTGTAATTGCACTCTCCAGAAAGAACTTATCATTAATAATGATCTATCTGTCTTAGACATTTGACACAACTGATCACTAACCTTGAAACTCATTTTAGAGACCATAACAATACCTCCTCCTTGCCCGGTTTGTCAAGTTCTAAGACTGTTCGCCACAGCTCCTTTCCTGGCCTAATTCTTTTTCCTGTACACACTCACTCTATATGATTTCAATCATACACCTTCCATTATCATCACTACTTCCCCAAATCAATATTCTGAGTTCCAATTTCTCTTTGGAGCTTAAGACTATATGTACAATGCATGTCAGCCACCGCCATTCACTGGTATTGTCCACTGCACAATATAACTGCATTTTCTTGACCTCTATTCAAGAATACAAAGAAAAAAAGCAATACCTTACCTTTTCATGGCAACCAAAAGTACTGAATGTGCATGGAATTGGGGCTGTAGGACAGTCTAAATCATAATGATTAGGTATCTGAAACGCAAAACAAAGGTTGGACAAAGGTTGGAAAATGTTTTCCCCTGCATATCATGTTCCAGTTTGATGAGATTATACTTGAAATAAAAATTTACATTCAGCTAAACAAAATCACTATTGTCTATGGCTACTTTTGTATCACAATAGTTGCAACAGAAACTATGTCACCCACAAAGATAACATAGTATTTACTTTCAAAATCACCTCATACCATCCTCCAAATCACTCAATATTCATTTAAGAAAATCAATGTTTCTACTGCTGGGAACTGGAACCCTCTAGTGGCATTTTAAAGAAAAGGCACCTTCTGATGCCAACCACAACTGCAAACTTATCCAGGACTCTCCCTGTGGTCCACGCCATCTAATCTAGATCACTCAGCTGCATACATTAAAGCCATGGACTGAACCCAGTACTTCCCTCATGTCCACCTTTCATAAATCTTCTTGCTTTCTGTTAACATGGGGATGTTTTGGATATAATGGGGAGACTCAAATGTTAGAAGGTATATTACGCACATTAATAAAAGTTCTAAAGAATGTCTCAGGTTTTGATTTGGGGACTCCGAGACACATTCTTTAAGGTAAGATCCGTTACAGAGAACCATATTCTTGAAGTGGTGCCAGATTCCCTTTAGAAATTTAGTTTGGCTAGTCAGAGGTATTTCAGGTAGAAACAACACTGAGACCATTTAACCCAATCCTTCATTTTGCATAATCTAGAGCAGCGGTCAGCAACATTTTTGGTAAAGAGTCAGACAATAAATATTTTCAGCTTTGTAGGTCCTGTGGTCTCTGTCCCAAGTACTCAACTCTAATACTGTGGCAGAAAACCAGCCATATATGACATACAGACACATGGGCATAGCTGTGTTCCAATAAACCACATTTACAAAAACAGGTAGTGGGCCCTTTTGGCTTGGCAGGCTGGTTTGCTGGTCCCTGGTCAATTTCTCGCCAGAGATCAGTGGGCAAGTCAGTGGCACAACCAAGGTTTTAGATGTGCTGCATGGTTTCCTTTAATAATAAAACAGAGCAAAAAGAAAAACCTGGGAGGTGAGACTTCATAAGCAAAAAAAAGTTTAACAACTTCAAATTAAGGCTTTGTTGGAAAAAAACTATACGACTGTTAACAGACAAATGGAAAAGTTTAGTCGAGTGACAGGCTTTGCTTGCTTCTATTCAGTAATCAATTATGATCTTTGGGTCTGCAGAGTTCATGAGTGAATAAATAGTGACTAATATTCAAATTTTGTGGGTAAACTCCTCAAATGTCAGAAGATAGTGATCAGATGAAATTTTCCTTTCTCTATTAATAATAACAATGTATAATTTTCTCTTATAACTATTACTCCTGATGGTGCCCCATCAGTGGTCTACAGATCCTGGAAATCTCAAAACCTCTCAGTATGTCTCAGGCGCTGTGAAGACAGATCATGTTCTGCTCCTGAACAGACGTGTTTTCTGCTATTTCATTGTTCGTTCTTTTCAGCTGGTCTCTGTATACCTAAGAGCCTTAGTTCACAGTGTGCAAACAGGTATTTCTAAAGGTTTTGTTTCTTTAAATGAGGATTTTTGATTGACTGTATCTTAAAATTACCTGGTTTTGTCTGGAACTTTTATGAATATATTGGGTTTTCGGAAAAGTCATGATGCATTTTTGCAACGAGAAACAGAAAAAATACGTCATGACTTTTCTGAAAATGCAATACATAAAAATGGATTTATGTTAATGACTTATGAATTGTAAGTGCTTAGGGAGGGCTGAGTATTTTGTTCTTTCTGAAAGTACTTATTACATTAGTGTATATAAAACATTTTCACATAGTTCTAACACTTCTTCAACCTTTATTCATTTTCTTACTAATTTAAATTTTCAATTAAAAACCTAACTCACTTCTTTAATCTATTTATAGAAATATTAATTCATGAAAGGAAATCATTATACCTGTTCTCTGATGAGCATGGTGTTGCAGTATTCACAGACGACATTTGCCAAAGGACAGTTCTGGTCATGAATCTAAATTTTATTAGAGAAATAGAAGAAAAGCATGAGAAAATATGAAAAAGTAAAAACAACCTAGTTTTAGAAAAAGTAATTTTTTCACTATGAACAAATTAAGGCTATCAATGTGTATTTTTTTAAAAAGTGAGAATCATTAATATAAAGGTTGTTTTCTCTCCCTTTGCCAGTGTAGTTTGAGACTCAACTCACATTCTAGCTCTAAAAGAATATGGTCATATGCAAAAGAGAAGCTTTTAAATTACTTCTTTTAGCCCGAGGCAGAACATCTGTGACTAGTTTGGACATCATTTACCAATACCATATTCTCCAAAGGCGTTCTTCCAAAACTTCCCAGCAGCAGCATGATGACTTAATTAAAACTCTTATCAGAGGGTTAAAGAACAGAAGCATTACTAGGGCGGGAGGCTTTGGTGCCCAGGTTCTCAAAGGCCCTGCAAGGGTCAGCCTTTGTTTTCTAGGATACAATGAATTTAAGAAATAATTAACCTTCCAAGTTAAGTCCATTTAATTTACTGAAGTTAAGGAACACATCAATTTGTTCCAATTATGCCTCAGATTTCTCCCCATTGTTTAGCAAATTAGCTGTCTATTTTTGGTCATTAATTTAATGCGTATAATATGCTTGATCTCATAAGATAGTAGGGAACATTACCAAAGTAAACTAAGAAATAAAGTTTAAGGAAGTATCTTAATTGTAAGAGAACATCAATTATATGTTATTTATCTAGGTTATTTCAGTAAAGAGGACACAGATGGGGATCCAGGACCAGGATCTCAGTGTTAGCTAGCTTTGCCTTTACAATATTAATATAAAATTACTTAGCCTTTCTACATTTTAGTTTCTGAATGAATAAAACTGTTTTATCAACAGATGCTGTGAGGTGCCATAAAGTTTCTTTTTAAAGATAAACATTTTAACTGAAGTGTAATATGTACAAGAAAATAAATTCATTATGTGTGTGTATAGTTTGATGAAGTATCACTTTGTGGGATTTATTCTCCATAAAAGTTTTAACAACTTATTCTCTTTTGCAAAGAGTAAAGCATAAGTCTTGTACGGTAATCATTCTCCCTGGTCTCTCCAATCCAGAACTGGTGATGAAAATATCACACAGGAAAGCAGGTCAGCGTATGTCTTTCCCAGAAGGTTTTGTTACTTGCAGATCTACTACATGGTAAGTAGCATAATGTTTTCTAAGAAAGATATGCAAATGTAAACCCTACACTGATTTACTAAAATGGTTTACTAAATTTTCTTTTTTAAAAATCAATCTTCCCACAACTGATAATGCATAGACGCAGAACTGGAATAACATCCTCATCTACTGCTAACCCCCTCAAAAGTACATTAAAAACAAAAATTACGTAGTGAAATTAACAAATTCAAGTACATGCCTCTTTATCTTCAAATGCCATTGATACAGCACAGTTTACACAAGAAACCTGTCTCCTTGGACACTCCTTGAGAATGTGCATATTAAGTTGGCATTTTTGGAAGGAACGCTGGCATTGGGGACAATTCATAAGAGCAAACTCACAATGTGCTTGATGATCCTATAAATAAGAAAAATAATTGATTAGTATTTGCCAGTCCTTAAGAAATCTAAATATAATCTCTTCTAAGAATATACTATTTTCTGTCTAAAGAGCCACTTCATCAAAAGGAGCTAAATGAAGGGGGCAAGTTTGAATGTTTTAGACACTTAATTTTGAACAACATAATATTTATTTAATTTCTCATACAACCAAGCTAAAAATTAATTAATTTAATTTTAAAGCAAATTCTTTTCTCTGATTACTTCAGTTAATCTCAAGCTACAGAAGGACTCGGTTTAATTCATAATAAAATGCAGTTTAGAAAAACAGAAAAAAGTACGATCCGGGTACTAAGATGATGGCTACATGAGACCTGCTGCTTATTTCAAAATGAGAGAAACGAAGCTATGGGATTAAAATATGACACTTGCATTTAAAATGCTCTTCAATTTTATTGCAGATAATGCACACCCCAAAAACTTGAAGAATACTGATTTCTTTTTTATTATCACTGGGCAAAGTCAGAGTAGATGGAATAAGAGATTTCTGGTTTCTACTTACATTTATAGTCAATTAATGAAAGGGTTGGCATTTTATTAATCAATTATTAAATGCTAGGCACTGATAATACACAGGTGGACATGGCAAAGTCTCTATTCTCCAGGAACTACCTTGTATATATGCTAACAGCTAGAAAATAACTTTAATACCTCAAGATGCCTCAGTTCCATCTTGTGCAAACAACCTTCATTTGGACACTTCACAGTCAGAGAAAGAATCTCTCGTTTTGCAAAATTGTCAGGAAATAGTTGAGTTTCCAGCAGTATTTCATTGTCAACTGGACATTTGTGACCTGCATCCCTAAAAAAAAAAATAAAAATAAGATACATACATTTGGCAGATGTAAACAAACATTCACATTAAAAAATACAAACAACTTTAATCCGCCACATATAAATTCTCCATTTATTATTTCCTATGGGAAATAATTTAACACTATATTGCATCTTATCACCAAAAACAACAACAACAACAAAAAACATGTCCTTTATGGACAGTTTATGAACTGTTATTTATGAAATCAATATAACTAGCACCATATTGATTACCCATCAAAAACTATGGGATTTTAGATTGTGGGACAGATTCTAACCAAAAAAATAAGAAAAATTCACTAAATAAAGTCCTATTTTGATTGGCATAAAATGAAGTAAAAGATAAGGACAGGAATTTTGCAGTTTGGCAGTCCTCTGTTTTGTCAGCAGCTATGCAAGATACTAGCGAGATGAACTAAATATGCTGCTCATGATACCAGTAACCTCTCGGTAGTGTACACTGCAATCATAAGTAAAAATTAAGCCAATTAGCACTACTCCTACAGGGTCACATTTTAAGGTTTACTCTGAACAGTCATTATAACACTCTGGCTCATGGACAACAAAAGTTTTCCTTTATTTTTATGTCTAAAAAATAATGTAGCAGAGAGTTAAAGGACCTCCATGTCCTGCTTTCCAGTGGTTTCTTCTCTCTCATGATGGGAAAAACCATCCCCAGGAAGCTTGGGTATCTGTTATTCCCTTTTAACTTTCTGGGATGTCTCAATCTTCACTCACAAAATGTGGCATTTCAAGTAGACTACGAAGGGCCGGCCGAGTGGCTCAGTTGGTTAAGAGCTCGCTCAAGAGTTTGAGCTCTGAGCAACAGCGGTTCGAGTCCAGCCCGAGCTGAGCAGCCGCTGAGCTGCCAACAGGTAGCAGGATGGCTCAGCTAAAAAAAAAAAAACAAAAAAACAAACAAACAAACAAAAAAACAAAAACAAAATCAAGTAGACTACGAGAGCATCAGTCAGTCACTTAAACATTTGATGAGCATCTCCTGTGTATAAGCCAACAGTGGCAGTTGCTGTGGTGGGTAAACAGGTGCTGAAAAATGGGATCTGCTGTCAAATTCTTAGAACTAATAAATGTGAGAGAGACAGTCAATCTTTAATGGGGCCTCTCTCAAACTAATGTTATTATTGCACTGTCAAATATTTTACGAGAAGCATAAAAAGCTATGAACATATTTATTGAAATATATACACAAAGCCTAAGTATCTAAGAGAAAATAAGAACCTTACAAAGTAAACTGGAAACCATTATCCATAGCAAATGGAATTGGATTAAGATGCATTTTGATTCCCTGAATGACTATAATGGATAAGACATTTCAGAGTCGTTCCTTTAAGAACATTAGGCTTAAAGTAAGTGGTCATTTCTAGCTGAGAGGGAGATAGAAAAAATAAGCCTCAGACATCCTTTTGTGGGTTTTACTTCCTTTTCAGACCACTGTCCCACTACTTTCATGAATATCTTGCTATTAAAAACTGCTAAAGATTAGCTACTTTCCTGGGCATTGGTGACACCTGTTAAAATACTCTATATCTCTCTACTTCCAAAAAGTCAACGATCTGTAATATCGTACACATGACCTACTAAGATTGAATCATGATGAAACAGAAAATATGAAATGACAGATTACTAATAAACGGAGTGCATAGTAATCGAAAACCTCCCAACATACAAAAGTCCAGGAACAGATGGCTTCACTGGTGAATTCATCAAACATTTAAAGAATACCAATCCTTCTTAAACTCTTCCAAAAAAAATGGAAGAGGAAGGAACATTTCCAAACTCATTTTACAAGGCGAGCATTACCGATACCCAAACCAGACAAGGACGCCACAAGAAAAGAAAAAAATTAAAAGGTGAAAGAGAAAAACTTACAGTGAGCAGCCAGCTTAACCTACCTATAAATTATTTCACCAATATAAATGGATGCTTATTTATTGCAGAACATAAAATCCTCCTACTTCTTCCAATTTTTTTTGTCCTTAGTCATCTAAAAATATTCCCATCAACTTTGAATTATAGTACAATTTATTTCTTGGGGGATGAATTTGAATCATTCACAGAAATCCCACATAACTTCATTTAGTTTAAGCAACCATGATTTACTGGGCACCTACTGTGTGTCAGGCAATGTTCCTGGCACTTAGGAAATAATCAAGAAATAAAACAGATCTGAACCCCTGTTCTCAAGGAGCTTATCTTCCTACTGGATAAGGGAGATTGGGAGGCGGGGAAGACAGGGGGAGCCATGCTGTGGTATAAATAGTGTAGCCAGGGCACCTATGAGGTGGTGAGATTTGAGCCACAATGGAGGGAGTAAAAGGTGTTAGGCAGGCAGTTAACTGAAGTAAGAATGTTCCAAACAGAACAGCTAAAGCCAGCTCCCTAAGGCAGGAGCACGCCTGGCATGCTGAAAGAACAGCAAGGAGTGAACTGCTGGGAGAAAGGCGAGCCCAGGAGAGAGGTCAGAAAACGGACTATGGAAACATCATATAAGGTCTTACAAGGACTTTTGCTTTTACTTCCAGATGGCCTGCTGCAACGTTCTGAGCAGAGGTGACATCATCTTACTTATTTTACCAGGTTCACTCTGGCTGCTATATTGAGAACAGTCCAGAAGACGGCAAGGGTAGAAGCAGGGAGGCCTGTGAGAGAGCTGATGGTGATTCACAACAGGGTGGGAGCAGTGAGCAGGGGTTGAATTGTGGATATATTATGAAGGTAGAGCCATCAATTAAAACTTACTTTAAAAATACTGGTTATTTTACAGCTGTTCATAGGTATCAAATGACAGAATTTAGCATGGCTAAAATGATAACTGATCACTACAGAGTCAGCATTCTTTGTATGGTTGAGATTATCACATTCTGTTATCATCATTTAAGGTACACTTATTTTATATTATTTTCTCAGAGCACAGAGACATGCCCTTGTCTGCAACAGAATTGCTTTGAGTAGAAGCAGCTACTTATTTATTTATCTGAGGGTGAGAAGAGGGTAGGAGATAAAAATGACCTTTTGGACCACAGTAGGAACTCGGATTAGAATGTAAATTTCTCTGTTTTCTGTCCAGGGTTCTTTTTCCCTAAGTAGCTTTTTTACGCGTAAGACTACCCGCGGGATGTCCCTTGTTCTGTGTAATAGCGTGCTCTGTTACAGGACACGGTGCTTTCTTAGGCTCACGTACCTTATTGATTTGATGATGCAGGCTTTGCAGAACCTGTGGCCGCACGGTGTTTGCACTGCTTCCCGCAACGCCATCAAGCAGATGGGGCATTCATACTTACTCTCCAGGGGTGGGTCGAATTCTACATCGTACCCCTGGATCTCCTCCATTAAAGAGCTGGAGAGATGCCCTGAGCTGGCAGCCCCACTCACACTGTCATCTTTTGCTGAAGCACTACAGGAGCTGGCCATGGCAGCACAGCAGTCCCTCTCGGACTGGCTGGACCCACAGCTGCTCTCACAGTTTAGCAGACTCATAGTAACGGGATTATCAATTGCTCTGTAGGAACAGCAAAAAAAAAAAAAAAAAAAAGCCTTAACATACATATACATGCACAACATATATAACTTATCTAACATATATATTATAGCTTATTATAGCTTATCTATATATCAACCTTTTAGTTGATATATATATAAGCTGCATTACTATTATTTACAGAGAACTTTCAAATTTTTGAGCTTTGCCTCATGACTACTGTTTCATAATAACTTAAGGAGTTCAATTATAGATAGAATATAAGGTTAAAAAAAAGTACCTCGATTGTAATACTTAGCTATAGCATAATGATCTGTTTAAATGTCTGTTTCCTGTGACTGAACACTTTAATTTTCATATCCTCAGTACTCAGCGTAAGATCTTTCACATAACAGGTGTTCATAAGCATCTGCTGAAAAACTTAATTATGCTGCTGAAGTTGCTTCAAGTATCCTGAGCTGAACAGCACAGTAAGACCAGCAGACAATGCCAGGAAGAACAATACACAACAGATTAGGTGATCATGTGCACCTATTAGGTGTGTGATTTTGGGCAACTTAACCATTTGGATCCTAGTTTCCTCTTCTACATCTAAAATTCTATGAGTACTTCCAAATGTTCAGTGTGGGGATTTCTAATATATAGAAAGAATGGAATTGAAAAAGTGTATTTGTATGTCCTCTGCCTTCAGTCATGTCAAGTGACTATGTTTCATTCTTCGACTGGAAAAACCAGTGAGGTTTTGTCTGCCTATGGAAAACTGCTGCTTTCATGGGTAGGTGGAATGCCTTCAAATTCTAAACCATTACTGTGGTGTTTATGGGGGAGAAGCTAATGTCTGAAAGCAATTCACAGCCTATATAACCAGATCTCTGTTGTAGATAATTATACCTGAGGAAAATTCCTAACATGTGCCAGATCTAGTTCTAGAAACAGAATGTAAGCCTCCAGTAAATATGGTAGACAATTATCACCTATGCCTGTCTCATTTTTAAATAAAAATTTTGGCTCCCACCATGCCAAACAGTGGGTTAAGAGAGTCATCCTCTATTTTTTTTTATCACTACAGATACCTTTTTTTCCTTTGCAAAAAGATTTTGAGTACCATCTGATGAGCACCTACAAAGGGTAAGACAGTGCTCTGGCTACAGAAGCAGTGCTGTGAAGGGTTAAGAGCTTCAGTGCTGGAATTAGATGATCTTGGTTTAACTATTTTCTCCATCACTTGGTGTATGACCTGGGCAAATTACATAAACTTTCTGTGCTTTGGTTTTATCTGTAGACGGGGATAACTACAGAATCCATCTCAGAATTACTAAGAGGATTAAACATGTTAATATGTGCAAAGCACTTAGAACTGTGCTTGGAAGAATGAGTTATTATGTGCAGCACCATACAGTAATTTATTTTCTTGGCCCCGCCCCCCCATCAAAGTGGAAACTGGAGCTTAAAGACTTGCCAAGGACTACCCAACTAGTAAGTGACAGAGCTGGGCTCAGGAGTCAAGTCTACCTGACCCCAGGGCCTATGCACTTTGTGCTATATTATGTTTGTCTATTCATATTTTTATAAATTTGTCTATAAAGCTGCATTTAAATTTTCTTCCTTTTATTTGTATTACACTAGACTAAGATACTGAACACAGCTTCTACTAAACATGAGCTGTCCTGCGTTATTATGTGGGGTTGATAGAATTTCAAAGAATCAGTAAAGAAAAATTGGCATTTTGTTTTACTTTTGATATAATGTTTTTGAAAAGTTAAAAATAGCTCCCAAAGCCTTGTTATAGCTAATGCAGAGTCCTAGGGAAGACTCAGTACTGGTGGAGAGGAAGGAAGGGAGAGCAAGATAGTGGCAAACACAGAACCAGTCACTATATCTGTGCTCCAGGATGGGGAATAAGGCCCCCATGATACCCTCCAAATCTGGGGACATATGACACTGTTATGCTACACTGGAGTTTATAGCCTTTGTTATTTTTCCTCCCATACACATTTTTGTGGGCCATTAATTCCTTAGGTAAATTTCCTGGAAGTAGGCTTATTAGGATAAAGGGTTTGTAACTTTCTAAGGTTTCTGATAATGCTGGTTATCTAATGTATATCAAAGGCTTTTTAATTCCAACTCCCCAAAACAGAGTAAGTTTGAGAGAGCCCATTTTATAAATCCCTGACAATTCTAGGTATATTTATCTTTTGATCCTTTAACCATTTTACTTTTTTAGGTAAAATCACTTTGAGAAATTAGTATTTATTTGTACAGTATATATCGACGTGCCAGCCAGAAGACAAATGCAAAAATTGCTGAGCTAAGTCTATTTTTTCTGCCCAAATGTTGTTAAAATTCAGTTTATTGGATAGTCTATATACTGCCCTCTTGCAGTCTACTTTGAAAGACTTGAAGATCTTTAGAGAATTTTTATAGCAAATGTGTTACTTAGAAACCCTTAAGAGGAATTCCACTGTAGGAATGCAATGTAAGATATGAAAGTCAGCTCTTCAAAATCTAGATGTCTTCAATTTTCACATTACTTTTCATGCTTAAGGATACAAAAGTTCCACATCCTCCAAATAAACTTGTTCAGATAGTCACTCTCTACATCTCCGTATATACAATCCTATGTAACTGCAAAGGGAAAATTAAGCTAAAACAGTATTTTGAGTGCCGGTTGGTATTTTTATGTTTACTCTTTTCTTTCTGGCAAGTTAAAACATTTTCCCCTTAACTTTTAGAGATTGTGATGACTTGATGACTTAAGTGATAAATCACTTCCTAACTACAATGAATAGCTATTTTAATTAACACTGAGAGAACAAAAAGTGCTTTGAGCCAGCTATAGAAGTGAATATAAGATGCTCTGGCACCCACGCAGAAAGTACTACCCTGGATTAGGATTCCTTTTAATCCACATGGTGCCATCAGTATCCACTTCATGAGAAGCCACAAAAGCGGGCCTTGGCTTTACATGATCTGTGAGAGAGGACATGCGTGAGCCCATATTTAAAAAGAGCCAGAGCAGCCGTTTTACAGGAGCTGCCCCACAATGTCTTGTGTTTCTTTATCTTCCGAACTGGACCAAAGCACCAACATTCCAAGAAGTCAGTAAGAACAAGGATATCCTGTATGTAAGGAGTGATGAAAATGGACTTTAAGATCACCAAATCGCTAACCAATCGATGAAGTACAAATCCAGCCTTTTGCCTGATGACCAGATCTCCAGCCAATCTATGAAGTACAAATTTAACCTTACCTCACTCATCAAGCACCAATGAAGTCTTCTTTCATACAGCTTACCTCATCGGCCTCTTTTATTATTTTTCTATGCTGTGTTTATAGTAAAAACCCTGAGCCTCTGTCCTGTAGTTGGGGGACACTATTTGGGCTTCTGCCTGAATCTGTTCTCCCTGAATTGCAATTCTATTGAATTCCAAATAAATGCTTATTGCCTCTCACTTTGGCTTTTTTATTTTCAGGTTAACAAAGCTAAAATAAATAAAAGTAAATATACATTCTTACCTATAAGACAAAGATTTCTTATAGCCTCTTTTCTACTCTAACATTCAGAATTTATGTGGTTTTCTACAGAAATTAATAAAAGGGACAGAACAACGTATAAATCATTTCTTATCCTGTAGGTTAAGAGCTTCATGACTGCAACTCTCTTTTTGCAGTTGTGAATCTAGTAAGCACTGCCTTAGTTAAACATTGTGGGATGTAACTACTGCCAACTTATTTTGACTGCAAAAGGAATAAAATATTTAAAGTAGCCTTGTCCTATAAATCATGGCTTAAATCCATCTATTAGTAACTGGGAATATATTATAATCCAAAGAGTATATGTTAAGTGTCTTGGGGGAGGGGGAGTAGGGTGATGCACAAAAGTGTGTTTCCTAAGATCAACAGGTGCTAATGAGAAAAGGTCCTAGCTGAAGAAATCAACGAGTTGTATCTTGAATTGGTCAATTTTAAGTCAATGGAAATTCATCCACGGCTAAACATGTCATTTATATAAAAGGAAAACCATGTAAAACAAAATATGGAGAAAATTACCTTTAATTTGCTGCCAGCTTTAGAAACAGGTACTCTTTACCAACTCCTTACAATCTAGTTTTAAAACGCGAAGACCTGCAAATGTGCTGCAAGGGCCAAGACATGCTGCCAAATAATCAACTGCTATGTTTCAATTTCGAATAGGGATTCAAGGGACACTTCCCTTCCTAGGCACTATTTGTTGTCCTCCAGGAGGCAAACATTTGAACAACTTCTTTCAAAGGCCAAGTGGCCCCAAATGTGCCAGCATCCCACATCCACACTGATCACCGGCAAGACCTCCAGTTACAAGTCTGACATACTCTGAACTATACAGTGCGCGCCGCTTGAAAACTCGAATCATCCCACGGGCAACAAGGGCCTGAAACGCATTCCTTACTTGAGTCACAAGAGCCATACTGTCCTTACCACACCCCCAACTTCGAAAATCAGAAAAGCCCCTTCCACCTTCCCCAGGAGCCACAGGGGAACGGATAACATGCCACTGGCCGGGTTCACAAGGCCAACCCTTAGAATTTCTTTCCCAGTTTTTCTCGCCTCTGTGCCTGTGTAGCAAGACATTTAATACTTCGCTCTCCCAAGAAACGGAAGAAACACGCAAATGCTAATATATTCACGCTGTCCATACGTTAGGTGCTTTCTGCTCACATTCAAGACAGTCCTACCTCTCAGCTGGAGTTCCCCTAAAGCCAAATACTAGGAACAGCTTTATCAATCCAGCGTCTGGAACAATCGCTAAACTACCGAGTGCAGGGGCGGGGGAGGAAACTTTCGTGTCATCTGAACCTCTTTTTTTTTTTTTTTAAACGTGCTGCCTGGGATCTGTATCGAGTTCAACAGGGAACCCAAAAATAGCTTTCCCATGACAGTGACAGAGAGAGTTGGTGGGAACTTCAAAGGGACTTTTTTTCCAAAGCTGGTAACAGCTCCGAGGGACGGGAAAATCCAGCAGGCGACATCCCTTTCTGGGACGGGGGCGAGGCGGCAGGGCTGCCGGCGCGGGGTTCCCTCCGGGGAACGCAGTGAGCGGGGAAGGAGGTCCCCGCGGGCCGGGGAAGCAAAGCGGAGGGGGGGGGGCGGCGTGCCCAACCTCCGCGAAGCGAAGGGACTTGGACGACGTCCTCAACCTGTGGGCAACGAGAGGAGAGGGGGCGGCGTCCGCGACCGGTGGGAGGAGAGGCCGCGGCCGCCCGCAGACGTCGGGACACTCACCGCTCTCGTCCGCTGGGCCGCCGACTCCACCGGCTTCGCCGCTCCGCTCTGCTCCGCCAAGACACCGGGAGGGGACGGGCACCGTACCCCGAGCCGAGGCGGCCTGGGCGCCAGTCCCCCGGCTCCAAGGCCGCCGCTATCGCGTCCCCGGGTCGCCGGGAGCCCGAACCCCAGCGCGGACACCCCTACTTCCGCCTTCTCTGCCAGGCTTGGGGAGCCAGGGGCGGGGAGAGGGCGGGGGGGGGAAAGAGACAGAGCGGCCAGGCCTGCGCGCCCCCTGGCGGCGGTCCTCCAAATGTGCACGGGCTGCTGCGCAGGCGCAGAGCAAATCCAGCTGTCAGTTCGGAGCACTCCGGCTGGGCTTCTCTCTTGGGTAACTGAGTGATCTGGTGAGCGGTGACAGCAGCAATTCCAAACTGTGTTTTATAGCTTCCCTTAATCGAAGCAGGAGAAATCCCCAACTGGGCTACATCCCTTGACCTTCAGGAATTCTTAAAATCCTTCTCCAACTCCACCTTCCTTGTCAACGAAGTTTCCATGGTAGATAGAACCCTCTATTATCACCTGGTCCTTCCCCTTCAACCAGTCCAAGAGAGTCAATCCCATATAGTAAACATTTTTTTAAACTGCTGCTAACTACATCATCCTTTTTTTTCTGTCAATGTCATGAGAAAACTATTTTGAATTCCCTGTTTAACTGGATGCAAACTTCTGAGGAATATTGCAGGCACCTTGCAGTAGATGCACAAAATATTTTCACCCACCTCTGCAAATCTGAGTCAATTGTTCACCTCTTGGGGGAGGTATTACAGGATGGTGGTTTTTCTGTGTATGTATTCTGAAACCAGAGTGTTTCATTCAAATCTAGTTTCTTCCCCTTTATAAATTATATGACTTCAGATAATTTACTTAACCTGACTGTCTTCAAATTTTTTCATCTCATTTTAAAATGGGGATAATAATAGTACTTACCTCATAGGGTTGTTGGAAGGGTGAGATTAGTTAGTAATGTAAATAAATTATTTAAAACAATCGAGGACACAGTATATTCTCAATACGTGATAACAGTACTGCATTTTCTGCTTTCTGGCTACAAATAGTCATAGAAAATGCTTATGTGTTCAAGATAAGAACCTGTCACTGGTTCTTAGACTCTGTCTGCCCCCTCTTTTTTAAAAAATTATTTTGAAATATTTAAGACATAAAAAAGAATTATACACACACATCTGTGTGCTCACCACCCAGCTAAAGAAATAAAACTTTGCCAGCCCCTGTGTATCCCTTTCCTGTGGCCCTCAAGCCTTATTAAAATAAATTACTTATGAGGTGACAAAGAGATCATGATATAAACTTGAGAGATGGAGAAAAGGAAGAACAAAGATATGAGTTCTGGGGCCAGTTATGTAACCTCCATGAGCTTCAGTTTCCTAAACCATGAAAGTGGAGATAATATTTACAGGGATAATACTGTCAGGATCAACTAATAACAATGTATGTGATAGAACCCAGCACTGGGCTTTCAAAAAGAAAAGGTGTTTTGTGTGTAGTTTGCCATTTTCTTAAGTGACCTCGAGGGGCCTCCGCCTACTCCCACCAATCCTGTTTATTCTTCACTGTTTTACATGTAGTGGGGCAGTTGTAGTGTTTCCCCATGCCCTGGATGTGCAGGAAACTTACACTTCCCTGTCTCCTTGCAGTCAGGAGTGTCCTATGACTAGTTCTAGCACATAGGCTGTGAAGAGAAGGGATGCATCTTAAGGCCAGAATATTTTATTTTCATTGCAAGACCCTCCTCCTCCTGGGCGGCTGTAAGTGGGTGGTTTACTAAGTTGCCGTGGGGAGGGCAGTTGCTTTGGAAAGTCAACCCACTTGCATTGGACTTACATGAGCAGGAAACAAATCACTGTTGGTTTAAGCCAACGAGATGCTGGGATTGTCTTTTCTGCACTATAACCCAGCCTTATCCTATGCACAGTTTGTACCCCTATTGGACTAGGAAGCAGAAAAACAAAGTTTTACTCCTGGCTCTGCCTCTGACTAAAATTGGGACCTGGTCAGGTGTCTTCATCTATAAAGTCGGAATAAAATTTACCCTGTCTTCTTTTCAGAGCTGTTATAAGTTCAAATGAGATCATATGTGTAAAAAGGCAAACGAGGAAGTCCTATACAGATGGAAGGAAATGAATGTTCTGTTTAGAAGAGTTGCCTGATGTGTAACAGCAACCACCATGCCCAGGTTTTCTGGAATGCTGCTAATTTAAAATATTTTTCTCAGTTGTTCTTACATAAGTAAATCAAAATGCACAAAAATATGGTCACCACATCATCCCTGGATTGCTGCTTTTTAACATTCTATTTGAAAAATGAAATAGTATACACCTGGCAGGCTGTTGCGGGTAGGGGGTGGGTGGGGGGCCGGTGAGAGAGATTTTCCCTAAACATTTAGCAATAAGATAGCTCTCTAAGATTAAATCATAAAATTAAAACACAGTTCATTAGTTTAAAACATTTATTGAACAACCACACAACCATGCGCGTGTGGCAGTCAGCCTTGAAGACATATTTATGCTCTGTGTGACCTCCTACCACAACCGATGGGGTAGAACCAATAGGATGCTGTGAAAATGACAGGATGTGACTTCCTAGGCGTGGTTGCCTCCAGGGTTCCAAAGGAACCAATTCAAGAATTCACAGCTGCTAAGAAAGAATTCCTTGGAGAACAAGGAGAGATCCATCCAGTAAGAAATACTCGGAATGACTTATTTCATTTAGAAAACAAACTCAAGACAAACCACAGTGCTCTATCATTCCTTCCATTCACCTTCCTTTCTTCCTTCCTTCCTTCCTTCCTTCCTTCCTTCCTTCCTGCCTGCCTTCCTTCCATCCATCTCAATATCCATCGATTTGTCTATTCACCTATCTATGGTCTTTATGTCTATTTTAGAATTAAAATTCACAAATTAGATAATTTTCCTAATGCATATCATTAGATTTATTTTCATTGAAAACTGATGGAAAATGAATTCAATGAGGACTGGCTTTGTAAATTAGATTACATAGTAGATTTTCCCCATAAATTGAATGAGAATTGAATGAGCTATATGAGCAACTCCAAAGTTTTATAAAAACAACAACAACAACAACATGGAAGGCATGTGTAAAATATACACTATAGCAAAATTACATTCAAGTATTTGAACTTATCATAAAAATACTTTAGATGCCAACCTAAAAGTAAACAATAGCATATCATCTTACAAAAGCATTATAAAGTCAGAATCATTTTCTCAGCAGAAACAGGAGCATGAAAGTAAATATGTTAACCTTTGGTAAAATTATAGACCATGAAAGACTGAGTTAATCAGAACAGGAATTAGAGATGACCTAGAAAAAGGTCAAAGATATCCAGTGTGGCATTTCCCATGTTTGGAGAAGGAAGTGCCCTGGATCAAAATCTCCCCTTAGCTGTCCATTTTCAAAAGGCAGGAGTTTTGAAGATGGCCTAACGTCATTCACCTTGGAGTTGTAAAAGCAACTACCTATTGAATGATTTCTTTATTGCTAACAGTGGCTAAATGAAGCCAAAGGAACACACGGAGAGATGTTACCCAATAGAGGATTCTGGCCTTAGAATAGACCTCAAGCACAGTAAGTTTTGGGGTGGCCCCCACCAATTCTCACCTCCTTTTTCCCATCCTCCTCCACCAAAACAAGGGAAAGTTCTCAGAGGGCAGAGGAGGAAGTAGGTGATGAGGAGTGAAGAGGCGGGGCACACAGAGGGAAGATGAGTGAGTTGTATAGACATGGGGGTGTGGACGATAAGGCTCCTGGGGAGGTAGCTGACAGTAACAACAGGCTTTGGGATGGTGCCCTTGGCTCAGGACACTGTCCGGGCTCACAGCAGACTCTGAGCCACTAGGAGGCAGAAGTTTAGTGTTTGAACCCGCCTTGTAATCTACGGAAGTTTCCAATATTGTCTATGGCAATGAGTTTTCTTTCTGTGTACTAGCAAGGAGTAAAAATACTTGCCCTTCCCTCAAGAATCTAGACTTTTGGTGGCCATATTTATGTCTCCACACTGGGTGGGTAATATCAATTTTTGAACTGATGGAGCTAAGCATCAGGTTAATTCACCAAGGTAAATAATACCTTACGACTTCTTTTGGTGCTTTCTCTTCTGGACACGTTTAAAACAATTACTATTAAGATAAGCCATTGCGAACTTGAAATAAAGCAAGATGAAGGCTACATGTCCTTTCAGTGTCATTGTTTAATGTGTTCACCTAATATTTAATTATCTATGTCTGAGAATTCACCTATGTTTGACTTTGCTATTTACTATTTGATTAGAGACCAAACACTTGAGGTTACACATTATCTCAGAGATGTCTGTCCAGTAAGAAGTCTAACCCCAGAAGTTAACGCACTGTAGGATATTAACCAGTTTTGTATCTATTAAGCAGGTAAATTAATTTCAGCATCCCTTTGACAGACTGAATAAAATCTCAGTTTTCCCAAGCCTCCTTTGAACCAGCCGTACTATCTTGCTGACTCATGAATTAATGGCTTGAATCAAATCTTAGATATGTGTTCATTCTATATTTGTCTAGCTGTGTTGTGTTTAATTTTTGGAAAATTATTTTAACACGACAACATTCCTGTTTGACTCTGCTTCTTTCCAGTGTATGCCTATCAAATAAATGGCTTTGTCAGATTGTGGCATGTTTGATGTTTGACCTCTTCAATGGGGGACAATGTTGAATTGAATCTTTCAAGACATTGCGATCTTTATTAAAATTCTTAATTATGGCATCCTAACACAAAACCAAAAATATATACTTAAGCTGAAACAAAGAGCGGCTGATTGTTTAGGAGGGTTCTGAGTTCAAAAGCCTCATTTGTGTGTGTTCCTGCTGGCTGGTGGGGGTGGAGATGCTCAGCAGTGAGTGGATAGCAGAGTATCTGAGGCAGGACGAGAGGAAGTGGCCTGAACTGTGGCTTTGTTTGGTGGCAAGAATAGGCGATATAGTTTTCAGTGTTCCTGATTAGAAGTTATAATATAATTTCCCCCAGAAGGCAATTAAATAAATAATATTAGTTTCCTCGAATTGCCCACAGTGTAGTTGAAATAATGTATCTTTTATGCAACAGTATTATTTGCAGTAATTGTA